GACACGAAGTCCATGGCGGCGACATTGAGGAAGTCTGAGGCGAGGATGAGAGGTAGCAGACGGCCTTGATAGGGCGACCGCACCTGTCGGCGCAAGAGAGAGGGAGAGGACACGCGGCGCGTCTAGGCCAACTGGGCCGGGCTACGCGAAAGAGAAAGAGGGGAAACGGGGGCAGGAGCGGTCGGCTGGGCCTGTGCGCAAGAGGGGAAAGCGGGCTTGCGCGGGAGAGAGTGGGAGACATCAGGAGAGAGTGGGCCGCCGGTTGCAGTTGGCAAAAGGGCCGACAGAGCTGGGCCACGGAGGTCGGGACAAGGGAAGTTGGGCCGTCCGGCCAAAAGAGGAGGGAAAAAGATTTTCCATTTTCAAATCCTTTTCTATTTCCTATTTCAAAACCAATTTCAATTAGGAATCAAATCAAGTTCAAATATTATTTTCAATATACTTTTCAATTCAAATAAAAATGAGAAATTTTGGTAAGTTTTCAAAATTAATTTTTCACAACTTTTAAAATGCCTTTATTTTTCAAGATTTTCTTTTATTTCAAAGCTAAAGCATTTCAAAAGCGAATTTGAATTCATTTTGAATTTTGAATTCAACCATTCAACTCAATAAATCAAATGCAAAGGCATGTATGCACAAACATATTGCTACCTTATGATAAATTTTGAAATTAATGAAAAAAATTATTTTCCTATGTTTTAATGAGCACAAAATTCTAAAATTAAATCTTTTCAACCCTATTTCAAAAAGAGCAATTTTTAGGGTGTTACAACTTAATGGGAGATAGTATGTATGCCGAAAGACCAAGGAGGATTGGAAGTCTTAAATTTAGATGTCCATAATAAGTGTCTTCTAAGCAAATGGCTCTTTAAGTTAGTAAATGGAGATGGGTTCTGGCAACATATGCTTAGGAATAAATATCTAAGGGACAAAATTTTGACTCTGGTTCAATAGATGCCCGGAGATTCTTAGTTTTGGGATGGCCTTATGAAGGTCAAGGGGGAGTTTCTTTCACTGGGTAAGTTTGATCTCGGTGATGGATCTCATGTGTGATTTTGGGAGGACGCGTGGATAAGACCGCCCCCACTAAAATTTATCTTTCCAGCACTATATAATATTGTTAGAAAAAAAGTGCATCAGTAAGAACGGTGCTATCCATGGCACCTTTAAATGTAGCCTTCAGGAGATCGCTGGTAGGTGTTAATTTACAAGCATGTTACAACGTGGTTGCAATGGTTGCCAATGTACAATTAACAAACCAAAGAGATCGTTTTGTGTGGGGACTACATTAGAATGGATTGTTTTAAGTTAAATCCATGTACAGAGCATTATTGATAGCAAAAGTTGACCCTTATAACACTCTAATCTGGAAACTGAAACTAGCTCTCAAAATCAAAGTCTTTATGTGGTATCTATATAAGGGAGTAGTCTTAACAAAGGATAATCTTATATGGCGACAGGGGTAAGGAGACAAGTGTTGTTTCTGTTCTTCATATGAGTCTATATAATATTTACTCTTTGACTGTCATTTTACTAAATTTATGTGGAGAATTATCCATGTTTCCTTTAATTTAATATCTCCAACTAACATACATAATCTATTTACAGCTTGGTTGCAAAGGGTTAAATAGGAAACTAAAATCTTGGTTGCAAAGGGTTAAATAGGAAACTGAAATCTCATATACTTGTGGGAGTTAGTGCAATTTGTTGGGCGTTATGGCTAACTAGGAATAATATACTGTTTGATAAGGTCCTAGCACCATTTTATCTGTAGATTATCTTTAGGGAGACCTACTGGATCAGGTCCTGGTCCCTATTGCAGAAAGAGGAGGATCGCCAGATGATGAAGATGTGTTGCAGGAATATTGAAACAACCGCGATGGAGATGTTTTCAAGACATGGTTGGAGATTCAGCAACATAATTGTTTTATATATGTGGCTTTTAGAAACTTTATTTTTGTTCTCTTTGGCTCAAAACTTTGTTTTTGACATTCCTTGCACAACAGTACTCTTGCTTGTAATAAGGAACACATATATACATTGGTCGATGAAGTTGAGATATATATATTCTTTTAAAAAAAAAAGCTTTTCCTGCTTTGGTTTGTCTACCGTCACTGATGCACGGATACTGTAGTACGTACAAATCAAGGTGCTTAATTTTGAACAATAATAATGTGGCTGGCTGGCTGCCCTACGCCTACGCCCCTACCGCTGCGTGCTCGATCGTCGATCGCAATGTTTACCAAATCTGTGGGTACAAAGCACGCCGCCGGCAGCCTCCAGCCTGGTGGACGATCGAGTCCGGTCGTCCAGCCGCCGAAGTTTAAAGCCAGCTCAAACAAAAGGTCTGTTGCTTCGGTTGTGGAATACATCGGGGGTGTTTAAATACATGTGACTAAACTTTATCCTCTCTCACATTGGATGTTTGACTGACGAAGAACAACACAAAATCATCTTGCAGAGGCTTTCCAGCTTGCTGGACTGGGAGAGCGGTGGGCATCCACAATTTTGCCATGCAAAAGTAACACAGGTACTTGAGTTGTCTTAAGTTATTTTTTTGGTTTAACCGAATTTAACTATAGAAAAATAGCACAGACATTTATGACGCCAAATGAGGGCATTACAAAAATATATTTTACAGTGTACCTAATGATACTAATTTGCTATTATAAATATTTGTGCTCTTTCTACGGATCTATTTAAAGTTAAAAAATATTTGACTCAAGACAACTCTAAAAATTGATTTATTTAGTAACAAAAGTAGTATGTGACAAGCGAAAACAAAAAAGAGAGTTACAAAGATATGGATCAACCGGTCCCAAAATCAAGACTAAGGGTTTGTTTGGTACAGCTCAGCTTCACTAGTGAAGCAATTTTTTTTTTCGGATCCATAAAGCAGCTTCACCAATAAAGGTAAAGTTGTTTTCAAAAAACGTTCGGTAAAACAACTTGTCAAAGAAGATAGAGAGAGTAAAGCTAGGAGAAGATACTATTTTCAGCTTCACCTAAGAAACCATGCATATGAGAGGAGCTAAAAAAACAGTTTCTAAGGTGTTTTATGAGGACCTATTTAGTAGGAGAAGCTGAAAAATAGCTTTGTGAAGCGGTACAAAAGATATACCACACACATCTTAAGAAGGCACCGAATATATGAGGAAAAACAATTACGAGGTAGAGGGGACTTCAAGAAAAACCATGGCAACCATAAAACACAACTTATACAAGGACGACGATAACGCGTGTTTGGGAAACGCGCGATCCCGCCCCTGCCGCCACCCACCGTCCCACCGTGACACGGCCGTGCCCACAGCAACCTCCTTCTTTTCCCTCCCTCGCCGCCGCCATGACCATGGTCCCCGCCCCAACCACGTCAGGCCGCCTCCGCCGCTGCCCGCTTCGACGGTGTCACCGCCGCCATCTCTCTCGTGTCCATCGCCGAGCCTGCCTACCTCTCTCGAGCCCCTTTCTAAGCCCGCTGGAAATGGAGAAGAAGAGAGAGGCCGGTCGCGAAGGGGCATCGCGTGCTGACGATGTAACGCGATGGGTCGCGTAGCAGAGTTTGCGCTTATACAACCCCATAACAACCACAAAAAATGACTAGAAAGCTCAGAATGAACTGAGCTGGGTCGCGTGGCCATGTGGAACTGTTGCATGCTATCTTTGTGAAACAGTGCGACTTACTTTGGTTTCACATTTTTTTTATTAAAAGCTTCTTTTGTTCGGCTATTTCCACAAATTTCATCATAAATAAATCAAAACACCGGCCTGACATTTGCGTCAATACACGCAGAGTGAACTAGACAAGCCCGCCTGAACCTGTTACCATCTAGATCTGCTATGTGTCAACTTGCAGGCGGGCTCGTTCGCGGCCGGCCACTAACCCGCCTCGCTCGCCGCAAAGTTTATTAGTGGGCTTGTGGCTTGCCACAAAGCTACGGATCTTGCGGACAAGTGTTTCGCGGACACAACAAACTTGTATGTAAAACCCGTAAGACCCGCAAGACGTACAGTACAATATCTATGTATTGAAGATCAAAACAGAGTTGGCTGGAACAGAGACACATACAGTACGTACACGTACGGTATTCATGGAAACAAAGTGAACTGACTGAAACTTAGCAAAAAAAAAGAGAAACTTGAAAAACAGTAAACATATAATACAACTTCGGCTAACCTCATTTGAACAGGTAGTACAGTTCATAATAATCTCCGAAAGCGTACATGTAAGGAGGCCAAACAAAGCTCCATAGGCACCAACAGAGATGTATTGGGCCCTTAATCCGTTCCCTGGTCGGGGACGCTCAGTCTTTTTACTGGCTGATGGGCCCCTGTCGTGCAGCAGTGCAATAAATAGGAGGTGGGGGCTGAGGCTCGAGATACGAGGTTCACTGCAGCCGCCAGCGCCCCACGATGTCCTAGCCCTAGTCCGATCTAGAAGGGCGCGCTGTAAGCGATGGGAAGCACCATCGCCTTCGCCGCCGCCACTGGACCGCGCCTCCACGTCGCTGCTACCTCGTCGGCTGCGCCATGGCCGCGACTGGCCTCTCGATGAGGTACATTAACAAGTCCTTTATCTAAGTTGAGTTTTACCCGCTAGATCTGCACCTAGAGGTTATATCACTTCTATCAAGATGTAGTTACTGCATAAGAAAAGTGCAGACTGCACACTATCTCCAAGCCAGATACTTCACTTGAACCAAAATCCAATAATAGCAGTGTTCCATAGATGTAGCTTCTACATTCACATCACTAACCAAAGTCCTGCTAAACATATGATGACAAGAACAAGATCTGGAAAAGGAGCCATTCCCCCACTGCAATAATCCAGGACCAAATATTTAAGAATTCCAAAAGACAGTAACATAAATAAAGTTGAAATGCTAAACTGGAAGGAGTTCTATATCTACAAAGACAAAAAAATGTCATTTTCTTCTCCAATTCTCCCTGTCTTGCACCCCTTCTTTGCCACCCTTCTTTGCTCAACCTGACACATCCTTTCCTCAAATATCGTCACCATCGCCAATATCATCTTCTGATAATTTAACATCTGATAAACCTGAAACAAGAGTGAGTAATGAGTTATAAGGTGTCGTTATTGCTCAAACAACAATACTCAAACTAACAATATGCTACTTTGTACAATTCAAAGAAAATGTACCTTCTACTCTCAACCAATCCTGCAGACATACTAAGGCTTGAACTTTCTTGCTTATTAGTCGGCTTCTGTAGTGACTAACAATTCTTCCACTAGTGGAAAATGCAGATTCAGAAGCTACAGTCTATGCGGGTGCTACAAACACATCCCTTGCCATACGAGAAACCATAGGATACTTTGTAGAATGCATCATCCACCACTGTAGAATATCAAATTTCTTTTGTCGAGGGAAAATATCATCTTGCAGATATGTGTCAAGCTCACTTTTCACTCTCTTCCTTTTTTGTGCTGAAAGATGTTGTTCAAAGTCTGCACAGCAGTCATCTTCATCAATACTTCCATCATTGGGCTCTGGTTGTGAGTAGTTCAAATCAGGTGCCATTGATGAATATGCAGAAAACAGATTTTGCAATGTGGCCTTCACCATTTTAGTGTATGCTGGACCTTTATCACCAAAACCAGCGTCCAAACGAAATGATACAAAACTGAGCTTAAACCAAGGATCTAGAACTACTGGAACACATATCTGCAACAAGCATATGTCCCAGTATTTCTAAAACTTTAGTTTCATTTTGCTTGCCATAACTGCAATGGAAATATCTATATTTGATTCCAAAGTTTCTATCTTTCCTTTGACCTCCTATAGGACATGGAAACAGTGGTTTGCTATTGGGTATAATGTACCAGAAACTACATTTGTAGCATCATAGAAGGGTTTGAACACATTGCAAAGTAGGTTTGCCATGTTCCAATCTGTATTAGAAGGCTTGTCCATGTAATTAGGATCTTGTGACTCCATAACATCAAAGACTGCCCTATACTCTATTGCAGACTCTAGCATTAAATAAGTTGAGTTCCACCGAGTTGGAACATCAAGAGATGGTCTCTTCTCACAGGATATACCTAATTGTACAATGATCTCCTCGAAACGCTGTTTACGGGCCTGTGAGCTTCTAATGTACTTGACACTATCTCGAATGCGGTCAGTAGCACCATCTATCACCTTAAATCCCTCCTTGACAATAAGGTTCAACACATGCGCTACACAACGCATATGTAGCATATCACCATTTCCAAGCATAAGGTGTCTTTCTGAAAGTTTTTTCCTTAAGGAACCAACCATGTTGTTGTTGTTCTTTGCATTATCTAATGTGATGCTAAATACCTTGTGCTCTAACTTCCATTCTTGCAAACACTTCAACAATGCATTAAACAAAGTAAAACCATCATGGGGCGAAGCTACAAGACCAAAACCTATTATTCTCTTCTGCAACATCTAGTCATTATCAATGAAGTGGCAAGTAATGCACAAGTAACCTAGGTTCTGATTTGAAGTCCACAGATCAACAGTTAGACAGACCCTTGAATTTGAATTTTTGATAGTTTCCCGAAGGGCTAACCTTTGATCCTCATATGAGCTCATAATATCATCAACAACTGTAGTTCTAGACACTATGGTAAACCAAGGATTTAAGGTAGCAATAAATTTATGAAACGGTGCATGGTCAACTAAACTAAAGGGCAGCTCCTGCAATATGATAAAGTTGACCATGGCTTTACGTGAGACCTCTTGGTCAAACTTCCAATTCTTCAGAGCTAGTGAATCAGGGGATAGTCCTGTGTTCATGCTTTCAACCAACTTGTTCATTCTAGTCCTTTCTTTACACACTTTCAAATGCCTACGACAAGCACTTCTACCATTATCTCGAGTAGCAGACAAGAGCTCCAAACAATGAATACATTTAGCTTGTACTACTAGATTCCCCTCATAAATAGGCTCAAATTCTTTCCACACATCAGATCTAAGTTTACGTCTCTTAATTGGTCTTCATGCATCTATACAATAAGTATGTAAGTATTGATTAGTATAAGCATTTACTAAAGTATACATAGTCAGTAATTAAAGGCATCTCATGCAGCAAGAAAATTCATCTAAAGGACCAGGACAGTAGAAACAGGACCCTAACCAAGACAGAACAAATCAACAAAGTCAAGATAGCAAGAAAAATTTGAGACATAAACTGGTTGCTTCAATATGTAGGAAGTTAAATCTAACCTGGGCCAAGATTAGGAGAAATAACCATTCTTGTATCATCTGATGAAGAAGAAGATGATGATCTTGCATATAGTACCGGAGACCGGCTCATCCTTGGTGACTGTAGCATTCTATTAAGTACCGGAGATCTCATATAATGCACACGTGAAGCAGATGACTTCCTCTGCATTCCTTCTGAATGATTTGAAGCATTAACAACAGATGACTTCCGTTTCGACAGCAAGGACTTGATCCTATCCACGCTCCTTTATGCTGCATCTTTGCCAAGATTAGGAGAAGCAGTCGTTCTTGTATCATCGGGTAAGGTTGAAGATGACAATCCTACACATGGTGACCTCTGGTGTTTGGCTCTGGAGTGGTGCATCCTTGGTGATGCTAGGATCCTATTCAGTAGAGGGGACCTCACAAATTGCACGTTCGAAGCAGATGACTTCCTCCGCTTCTCTGTTGGAGGCTTTGGAGCATTAACAGCAGATGACATCTGTTTCACTAGCAATGACTTCTTCACGTTCACACTCCTTGAAGTTGTATGCTTACTCCTTTGTTGATCTGCTTCTTGACCACTCAATTCTTCTGGCGCAAGCTCAGATGGCAGGGTTGCCATGTCCACACCAGCACATCTAGATAGAATACAATAATATGATAAGCTAGAGGACAACCAAATGGTGGCAACAAAATATGGACTACAGTAAAATTAGATATTTGTAGTAGACGATTTAAAAGATCATATTTAAAGATTTCTAGACAATAATTAATCCCGTTTTTAGTTTGTGTTCATGCTCAAAATTGGTTCGGTCCAATTTTTATATGAACACTATGTTCTGGTGATTAATATGAACTCGACATAGGACCGTGGAGTCTGTATAATTCCTTCAGGGTCCTAAAACACAAATGCAACTAAAAACACTCTGCTGAAAGCATCCTTTGCACTATGAGTGTCAACTCTACAATCTGCTCCACTCCGTATATCAGTTCAAGAGACAACTGTAGAGGTAAACAACCAAAACCAAAGGGAACCGAGCAAAATCCTTACCCATATTTATCTGTCTGTAAGAAATTGCAGGACGACGAAGCCACACCCGAGATCTGGCGCCCTAATCCCGCAGAAGCCGACGCTAGGATCTTGGAGGCTTCATGGCCCCCGTCCTCTCCGCCTCCTCTTGCTCCACCATGGAGGAGCGCGAGTCGAGGGCTAGGTTTCGCTGTCTGCCACGGCCGGAATCGGCATTTCCATCTGCGCCAAGGGCCAGGATGAGCTGGAAGGACGAGTAGAGGAGGGTGATGCCCGATGCCACCGTACCGTGACGGCGCGATAGCGGTAGGGTTCAGGAGATGCAGTTGTTGCGGGTCTTGCAGGTTCTTGTGAGCTTTGTCTCTTGCCCAACGGGGTTGGCGGGTTCAAAGATGTTGGGCCACAAAAAAAATTGTAGCTGGGCCACTACAGCCACGAAGGAAAACTTTGTGGGGCGAGTGTGCGGGTCTCGTTAAGAGCCCGCCCCGCCGCAACGTGAGCTATGTGTAACGCATCCACAATACATCCAGATCATGTATTTTCTGCTAGATCGGGATGTATTAGGTGCATGCCCTAGGAATTGCCAGGGTTAATTGACTTAAACTGAGCCGGATGAGAGAATCAGCCTGTTCGTTGGTTGGTTTCTGGGCTGATAAGCCTGGCTGGTGCTGGTTTGTTGTGAGAGAAAAACACTGTTGATTGGCTGATAAGTCCTGCCTGAAACCAACAAGCGAACAGGACTAATGATACTAGATTTAGGTGGATTAACCTATTAGGTGGGTCCTTACCGTTTGTCAGAGAAACCTCGAAACGATACGGCCACAGCCAGTGCCTTCTTGTGGCAAGCAGTGGCTCTAGCAGCGATGAGATTGCGTGGCCACAGAACTGTAGAGGAAAACATAGTATTTGGGAACAAAAAAAAAAAAACAAGGAGACAATAATAATAGCTTCAAGGCAAGAAATTGGTCCGAGTTTGCTCGTGCATGGAGAAAAATTACAATAAAAAGTAAACAAAATAATTTAGAAAAGTAAAAAACACCATAAATGTTACAATGGAAACAAGCTGCCTACCCGTGCTATTAGCACGGACCACCCTACTAATCATCTAAATCTAGTGGATTATGCAAGCTCAAGGTCCGACTGCCGTACAACACGTTATTGTTGGAAGTTGGACATTTAGCTTGCAAAACCATCTTATTGTCACGAAACGTCCCCTTCAGAATTCAGAATGCTTCTGCCCCTTGGCCAATGACAGGCACACCACTGTGATACAATGATCAAATCCCATTGTTTGAAGGCTTCAACTGGGGATCACTTGCAACAGATACATCATTCCCCTTGTCAGTTCACCACTTCGATATCACCATCAGGATGAAAATCCCAGAGTTCCTTTAGTTTTTTTTTCCCCGAAATATAATCTAAATTTACATGATCTGATGACCATCTTCTCACCGGCATAAGAACTATCCAGAAGAGCAAGATTTTTCAAGCTGTGCATTCTCTCCATGAGTGTAATATCATTTGCTTCAGATTAGTCCTGAACAATTTTACCACGGAAACTGTGATTGAACGAAAAATCCATTCTGGCACTGTTCCATAAGATCATCCAGTTTTATGGTGCGGAGGCATGGGAACTCCAGGGATGCCTTCTCCATGGGCAGATAGCAGAGTGTTCCATTGTTTTGACATGCTCCAAGATACAAGCATTTCAAGGAAGGGGCGAGCTTTTTCAGGGTAATGGAAACTTTGGCGCTGAGCTTCTTTGTAAGGCCTGTCAATCCTAGGTACTTCAACCAAGTAAGCTTCCCTAGAGCTTTCATTGCCAGGTAAGAGCTGCCTTCAACATCCACTACTTCCAGATTATCGATACCTTTAGGTACTTTTACACCCTCTGATGTATATGAGCATTCGGCTCGTGGTTTCTACGGCTGATAAGCCGGCTGATGCTGTTTTTATTGTGAGAGAAAATACTACACCATGACTGATAAGCCGGGCTGATAAGTTCAAGCGAACACGGTTGTTGGTTTATGTGATGACATGAGTCTTGTTTTTTCCTACTAGCACGAACGATCCACAGCCTCTTGAGTTGGGTGATCTCACTAGGGAGGCTTGTGATCTGTGTCTTTCTCACTTTAGCACTTGAAGGAATGGTAGCATACCGATTGAGGAAGGAAAGGAAGCTCACCAATACTGATTTGCAAAGATTTAGGTACCTCAAGTGGCACAGGTCTCCAATGTGCCCTGATGTCTTGCTGAGTAATTAGAAAGCTGGAACTTGAGAAATCTAGAACTCGCAGCGTCTTCATTTGGGAGGAGCAAACAAGTAACTGACTCTGAGGGTCTATTTAACACAGTCAGTGATCTGATGCCTGAAAGATCCACATATGTATCTAACTTCCTGTCACTCTGACCATCTAAACTTAGGTGGCGAAATCTCTTTGCTTGGACACTGGAGCCATTGTTTTTATCGACTGTCATTGAGAATTTCTCCTCTTGTGCAATCATGATCAGGATATCTCGCATAATTGGATGAATCCAACATTTCTTAATAAATGACCTGCGTCTTGACAATTGGGACACCATGATCATGTTTCGATCGAGGAGCTGCATTAAATACCAACTTGCAACTTCTGGAGCACTCAGCTCTGTCATCTCCCTCACAAGGCCTTCAGCCACCCATCGGTCCAGAACAGTTCTGAACGTTTCGTTCCAACTCCGATACCATTGTTCTTGTCAACTTCTAAGTCATTGACTTGACTGCAAATTAGGCGGTTATATTGTCAGCATAAATATTAGTCGGCACCTGCATCAGCGACAGGAAAGAGTGCCAACTTTTTTTTTTTTTTTTTTTGCAACATCTTCTATAGCCGTAGCGAGCATATGCTCTCCGTGACTTAGTGACACTTGGGCCACAACTAGTTAAGTGAAATGATCCAATGCTGTGGATACGTGACCCAAGGGGCTTAAATTGGGTTACTAAAACTATTCTAACCTAGAGCTCTAATTCGATTCATACTAGATAAATGAAAACAACTAACTAGCAAAATGTACACCTAAAATTAATCAAGTATCTCTACTTATCCACCAGAAAAGACTTTACAGCCAATATTTGTTTCAGCCTCTTGAGCGAAAAGCTGAAACTAACAGGCCCTTAACCATATTATTGGCCCGGTTAAGCCCAGCTATGTGGGCTGGCCAAACATCTATATATCCCAATGTTTCACATCGGCTCTGTCTCAGAAGTCAGAACCACTAAAAAGGACCCTGTCCTCCGAGCTTGGAACCTGCTACCACGAAACGACACCAACCACCAGCTTATATGCTGGCTGGCTCGGTAACATCAACCAATTGAAAAGTTCTGCGCAACATATACGAAAGAAGATAAAATGTCCAAAGAATACACAAAATCGTGCAGAAGCAACTGCAACTGCAAACATAAACAGGGCACAATTCCTAGTGGAAGTCTTGGTGTATTAGAGCCATGGAACACAAAAATTGCATATCCATCATTATCCATCAACTTACTAGAGTAAAACAACCATGCTGACATAGAATGCATTCTCACGGGATACAAGAGCCTAGTTCATCCTCTTGATGAGCTCATTGATGTAGTTCTCACGGTTGCCAGCATCACCACCCTCCACATAGTGGTTCCTCTTCTTCTTGAGGCCACCGAGGGGCGCCTTCAGCTTGAATGGCCAGAGGAAGTTGTTGGCCTCCTTGAAGTGTGGGCCAACCGTCATGATCTCGTGGACAAGGTCCTCAATGCAGATGATATTGTGCTTCCCGAGGCCCTAACAAACAGAAGAAGAAAGTAGACAAAAATTACTTAAGGCTGAAATTGAAATGTGAATGTTCAGAATCATCACAGTAGTTGTAGATGGCAAACCTCCTCGATGACATTGTTGTTGCTAAGTGGAATCCTCTGCTTGTTAAGCTTCCCATAACCTCTTTTGTAGATCAATTCTCTAACACTCTTCAGATTTGGGTATCTGGAGATGAAAGATAGATGTTCAGACTTCTGGACATCATAATAATAATCAAGTACAATTTCTGCCTTAAAAATTAACAAAACTCAGGGATTTGGCCCTGCAGGACCGATTCATGTGAATATGAATTAATTAATGCAACTCTGGAAACGTTATCACATCAATATGCAGGTTACAGTACAGTTAACAAAGGAGCTTAACTGGCTAAACAAATTGAATTATCATCTGTTGCATTGTTTCAACCCAGAAGCAACCAGAATAACTAACATAGCAATAACATTGTACAAATATTTATTATTTCCTCCGGAACAGAAAAACATAAAACATTTCTTCAAACATATTTAAATATAAACAACATAAACATGTGAAAGAGATAAATTAATGAGAACTTCACTTTTACACCTCTAGTAAGAATTCATGATATACATTATATAATACAGCATAGCAATTTTCTCAAAAAAATACAGCATAGCAATTCTAGCAGAAAATTATCCTTCTAAGAATGAATTCTTGTGAATTCTGATGAGTGATGCGACATTATTGTGCTTATGGGAAGGATCACATTCACAGGTGGGAATTGATACAAAATGCACTCATGGCAGCTAAATTTATACAAACTTACCCATACGCAACATATGGCTCCACCCTGCGGAGCATGTTAATGGTTGCCTTGTTAACCTTGAGGAAGACACCATTGAAGATCTGCCTCAAACGAAGGAGCTGCAAGATCTTGCGGGTCTTGGGGTGCATGGCATTGATACTACACAGCACATTTGACAACAATCAACACTTGAGCGTAGCAAGAGAATCAACAACCAATGAGACAAGAGCCATACCCACGGATGCGGACCACAAACAGAAGCTTGGCCTCTGGGCTCACATAGAACCCACCCTTTAGCCGGGCCTCACGCTTGAGCTGCACAAGCTCCTTCTCCTGCACAGAGTGCAAGTATATCACAACAGATTCTCTAAGGTCCTACCTTATTAATACAGAAAGCAGAATTCTCCAACAACAAGTACTAATCGGCAATGTCATCCTATTTCCCAACGGCAATGTTATCCTATTTCCCAACTGAACCAGTATTGCAACATTCAATGGTAGCTTTTCTAATGAAATAATCATCAGAGAAACGCTATTCTCCCCACATGGACAGTGGCCTCATCAAGTCAGGACAAACTATTTTTATTCCTTCCACGAAATCAACAGACACCATCAACATGGCGATAACAGTGCAGCAATCCCATTTTGATCCAACACTGCTATGCGCACACCAATTTCAAACGGATGCAATTCTTATATGAAACAAAATCAACTCGCCAGATCGAACGCAGACGCTACATCGTCGTAGCAACTATTCAGCTAAGCACAGCAGGAAGCAGCAAGGAACTGCGAGGTCGAGAAGGGGGGCACACAGCGTGCTTACCTGGGCGTCGTACTCCTGGGCGTACTGCTTGGCGCGGGCGAAGATGATCTTGCGGCTCTCGAGCGCCTTCTTCCTGTCTGCGAGCGCCTTCTCCTTCTTGTCCGCTGCCCACTGCTCCTCCCGCTTGCGCTTGCGCAGCACAGACTCCGGGACCACCACCGCCTTCGCCTCCGCCGCCGGCATCTGCGCAGAGAGCCCAACGAAAACTCAGATCCGCGCCGAGGGAGACGGAGTCGCGGGCACGTGCACGTGCCTGCGCGCGGGCTATGGATTGGGAAGGGGAGGCGGAGGCTGGCGCAGCAAAGCTTACCTCGGTGACCTGCGTGTGGGTGAAGAGAAGAGGAGGCCGGCCGCCGAGGTGGGAGGAGAAAGGAAGTGGCGGCGGGGCAGCGAGAGGAGAGTACTTATGGGAGAGCGAGGGTTTTTCTCTGCTCGCTAGGGTTAGGGTTTTCTGGGGGATCGGACGGCTGCGGTTGGCGAGCTGTTGTATCCGACGGAGTGGGGGCGAGAAGGAAATGAATGAACGAAAAAAATGGAGTTGGGCCCCGTTCAGATGCAAGTTTTGGGCCTCATCTGGTCCACTGTGGGCAGTAAAGTGGACCTTCGACCCACAAGTCGCCCAAGGCCGCCGTACGCCGGCGCATCGTCAGTCTCGCTCGTAGCAGGAGGTAGCTTCTCGCCAGCGTGGGTGGTTCCTGTGGGAGAATGGGGGCTCACCCCTCGGCCCCCATCCGACACGCACTCGCTCCTCCGCCGCGCACGCCTACTCTGCTTGTCCCTCACCTACAAATAGGAACCACCCCTTCTCCTCCAGCGCCTCCGTGGCGCCGGCGCCGGCGCAGGCGACCGAGATCTGACCGCCGGAGAAGAGAGAGGAAGAGGGATTGGGGTGGCGCGCGTACTGCGAGGGTGTCGTCGGCGTAGGGCTCCGTCGCCTCCCGCCGCATCGCCGAGAACGGCGCCTCCCGCCCCATCGCCGAGGACGGCGGCGGCTCACGAGCGCGGCCTCTGCTCGGGCCGCACCGAGGACGGCTCCTCCCTTCCGGCAGTGGCACGCGTGTGAGGCTGCTCGCACGGGACGCGAGCGCGGCGGTGCGAGGAGGCCCGCGCGGCCACCGGCTCCGCCAGCACCACCGCCGCTCTTTCCCCTCCCTCGGTGAAAGATGGGAGATGACAAGTGGGTCCCAATGATCAGTGTCTGTTAAGAGAATTTGGGGCTTTGGTTTAGGGACTTCTGCCGGAGCAAATGCAACAGAGGCCGAAGCACCCAAATTAAAAATGGGGGCTCGTGATTTGTGTGCTCCTCCTCGAGTTGCTCCTAACATGGCGATTGGCCTTGATGGCGGACAACCGGCGGCCAGGATACGGCGGGCAGCCAGCGACCGTGCGGCACTGCGGGCGTGTGCTCGTGTGTTGGCGGGCAGCCGCAGCCTTATGATGGAGATTGATGGGATTGCGACGCGCCCGTCGCCTATGGAGCCTTGATGGTCCAGGTGATGTCACACGGTCTTTCGATCTGTTTGTACTCGTAGGTCTAGTTGTGCATGCGTGGTGTGTCTGGATAGCGTGGGCGTGCGTTCGTGCATGTAGCAGATACTACAGCTATATTCAGATGAGAGGCTTAAAAAAGATGGAGATTGGCTTTAGGGTTCAGTTCTACTGGATGCTTGCACACAACATCGGCTCCATCTATGACCTCAGCGGAAAATCGTATTAAACAAACAAAGGGTGAAATTGTAATGGAACGAACAGGTACTATAGAGGGAGGGTCCCCTTTTAGAAAAACTTGCTCTTTATAGTGTGAGATGAGATGATATGAATAATATATGAATATTATGATATAAACAAGAAAATAAAAGAAAAAAAAAAATGTTAGTTACGGGCACCATCGCATTGCCGTCGCCGCCAAACACAGCTCCTCATACACACACCGCACATCCACCCAAGCACACCGGGCCGAGGGAGGTGATGCCGCGCGCTGCAGGAGGTCAAGCGCCATGGCTGCATTGAATGGTGAGACTCCCCACCAGTGGGGTTTTGTTTTATTTTGTTAGATGCTGCTGCAGGGCGGTGTGAGGTGATCAGTGCAGGAAAAGAATGATGGAGATTCAGTAGAGGTGTGATGCAGAGATAGGAAAAGCGTAGATGGTGCAGTGTAGTTAGAAGAAGTTGGAGAAGGTAGAGCGCTAGCTGCTGTGCTGTTGTAGGCGTGTGGCTGAATGAGAAGAAGAACAGCATCTCGGGAGCGTAGGTGAAGTAGTATAATTTATAATTTAGTAGATGCAAATTATGAAGTTTCCAGTTGAAGAGAGAGCCCTGCCATGGTGTCTGCCCAGCTGTTCTAGTGGAGGGAAAGCACTGCTGCCATGTTATTGTAGGCGTGTGAGGGCAAAAGTTCGATTGCTCCAGCAGTTTGCAAGTGGTGATTGGCACAAGATTCAGAGGCTTTGAAGCCCGTGCAAAGCAGTACATGTAGTTTTTGCAGAGAGTGATGCCACGAGGGGTGAGGAGATTGCAAGTTCAAGTAAGTGTCAGGAGTAGTGGAGATTCAGATGCAAAGAAGGGCGTTGATGTGGCGTCGTTGTGAGTAGAGAGGTTGTAGTTTAGTGATCTTCACAAGACTAAAGTGCCATAAGATCAATGTTTCAGATTTCAGAGGCTTTTGATTAAAAAGGCAGTAGATGTAGTTTCATTTGACAGTTACAGATCAAAGAGCTATATCATGAGAAGCGAAAGTGGGAGATTGCAGAGGCAATAGAGGTGGCAGGGTAGCAGTATTTGATCTGTGAGTGAAGTGAGATTGAGTAGAGGAGAAAGGGAGTTCGAACTTTGATGGCAAGTAAAATGCTGCGTTGCAGTTAGAAAGAAGAGAAATATAGAAATTAGTATAGGAGAAAGCCTGAAGAATGCAGCAAGTGATCAAAGCAGTGATAGTTTGACAGGGTAGTGGGCCTGACATGCTAGCAGACTTGTGTGTTCAAAGAAATTAGGCGGAGCCTGAATTCCATGAGAAGGCAAAGGCACTGTACTGCATTAGAGAGGAGAAATGGGCAGATTTAGTGTAGGTGCTTCAAGTAGTGCAGTTCAGTAGATGCAAGTCAGAGAGTTTCCAGCTGAAGAAAAGAGTGAGTGCAGATGTGTGAGTGAAGGAGTGATAGAATTGCAGACCGGCAAGGTATGCAAATGGTGGTTGTCAAAAGTTCATTATTTAGAGGCTTTGATCAGAGAAGCCCTTTACAGGAAGGATAGTATCCTGAAGCAAGAGCTGTGGAAGTGGTAGAGTGGTGTCTGATCAGTTGTGAGACTTGCATGTTCAGTGAAAGCAAGAAAATTTGGGAGTTCAGAGAAAGAGAGTTTTTGAATCGCAGTGTGAGAGCCAAGAAGATTTAGTTGAGAAGAAACGATAGACTTCAGTATATACAGCAAGCAAGTAGAGTCCTACATCTTAGGAGGGTGCACAGCAGAGTCACTGTAGTTTGATACAGAAGGAGAAGTGAAATCCCAAGATGCAGATGTCTAAGAGAACATGCACTTTCACTGATTGATGTCAGGAAAATAATTGGCTTTAGTAAAAGAGGGGAAGAAAGAAGAATATGCAGATTGCAGGATTTGCATGTTGCAAATCATCACCAACAGTAGTGAGACTCATTGGCTGTCAGCATAATATTCATGAGAAGCCATCGTGTGCTATAGCAGGCCAGGAGTTTTTCTTATCCTTTGTGTCAGTGATGATGCATTGAAACTCCTGAAGAATGCAGAAAAGATAAGTTGCAGTGAGTGGCCTGTTAGTGCATGGCTCTGAACAACAGAGACAGACTTCTGGGCAAAGTATGCTTTGAGTTGTTCGGCAGCAGTATAGTGCTGTTGCAATAGAAGATTTGTAGAGCCGAGAGGACCGTGGCTAGTGGTTTATTCAGAGATCATTCTCTGAAGAATAAGGCCGGCCCTGCTACAGTGAAGACTTTCAGTAGATGTGTGCCCCAAATTTCAGAAGTTTGTCAGTGCATGTGCTGTGTAATAAGCAAGCAAGATGTAAAATGTATAGTACAGTAATTAGCATGTGCTATGAAGTGTCAATTTGTCGTGAGGATTAACCGAAAGAAATAGAATGTACTGTAATCCGTGTAATCCTCAGAATGTTTGAAATACTTTAGGCATGACAGATTATTAGCGGCCTATTGTGAATCCGGCCCTATGATTTAACAAGAGTAGTCCTCACAGGTGCACTGATTATGTAAACGTGATGGGTTCTGCTTGTGGCGTGCTCCCTGATGGGTCCTATGTATACAAAATCAAATTGTGCATCCTGCTGCTGATGATATCGCTGCCCTGATGCCAGGCATAATACTCGAGCTCGACCAAATAGTTTTGTTCACACAGAAGTAGATTCATCCTCCAAATTGTCTTGAGAACACACGTGTACTGTGAAAGAAGTTTCAGCTCTCTTGAGATACGGGAACACACCCACCAGAAAGTTCATTCAGATACCTTGGCCACAATTAGTTCCTGACATACAACCACCATGCCCTCGTATACTTGTGAGATCATTACAGCTCGTGTATTTCACCTGAGTTGATTCCTGTGGCCGGCAATCAATATATAAAAAAAATAAATTTTAATGCCTTTGTTGTCCGTACTGTGTGCCATGCATACTCCAGCTGGTGATCATTAGAATTTTGCTCGTGGGCCTTTTCTAGCTATCACAGCCCATTCGCCAATGATAAAAGAGACCTATATATGCTGACAGTGCATTGCTCCGATAAAAGCATGTGGTCGAGTATATTATTTATGGCAATATTTGCCTATTTGTAATCTTCAATCCATGCACAGTGGCATTTCCTTGAGTCCTTGACCTAGGAAGTTCTATGACGCAATCTGGGCTTTAAGTAGTCCATAAAAGAATTTGCTCATTGATCAGGTAGACATGTTTGTATCATGTCAAGGCGTGACTTGCTTTTAGCGTCTGACTTCAAATAGTTGTATGCACTACCAGTATACTATTCACTCGGTTCAAAAGACTTATTCATGTCCGATATGACCGGAGTATCATCATGGAGTCTCTCAAGCAATGATCACCATCATCCAGTGACCGATAGCCGGGAGCACATATGTTCCGACCAACGAGGCTGGACACATTTCTTCTCCTTGACCAACGAGGTTTAATTTGGAGACCATCACAATTCTGCGAGGCCGACGAGGCTAGACCCCTTTTTGTTCGTGACCAACGAGGACGAACATACACTTGAGACTTTATCATGAATTCCGTGACCGAGGCCGGATACTTCTCACCGAAGATAGACAAGGCTTTGGGGCATATATATTATATGGCTATTATTGGTACCAATTATACTTGGAGAATATTTGTGCAGAATTCAAGATGACGACCATCGTTGCAGCTTAATCGGAGGTTTTCCATGATCCAACACTGTGGATGTAATTAACCGGCGGCTTAACGAGCCCCCGGAACCAAGAACTTTTCAATCAATGATCGCCTGTTTAGTCAGATTTATTAAGCGCAAATTCAATATAATCCCTAGTGGGAACATGTACTTTGTAATTCTCAAATAAATTAATAAAAGTCCGAGTTCCCTGAGTTTATTGTCTCTTTTACTTACTTTGTATATTTATGTATACTGGCACGTCCGCACATTTATCTATTTACCTACACATTAGGACCTACCCTCCCTAGTCGGGAGCGTGTTTCCTTTTGGCAAAACACCTCCCTTATGTGGAGAAATTTAGTGTTAAGATGATCGGAAGATTCAGGTGGTAATGGTGAGATCATTTGACTCACGCTATGCCTTTGGTTGGTAGAAGCCTTGTGTGGAAACCCAACTCCTTGACTATGAGAGACTTGATGGCTAGGTGCATACCTTGGCGAACCTCCAACGTTGGGTAAGACACTCCTAGAAAATAGATTTTAGAAGACAACCATTTTAATTTTGGATGCGGTGGAAAAAAAGTCTTCCGTCTCCGTAATTCCAGATGCATTTTTTAGAGATGGGCGCTAAAATGTCTGCTTGTGCAAATACCTCGGCTGGTCTCCTTAAATACTAGTCCGCCCATTAGACGTTCACACACATATTGGAGCCGGTATCGTCCATCGAGCCCACCCCAATCTCTCTGTCTCTCACGTCTCTCTCCAACCCAACTTTGTCCCGATCTCTAGCTGAGAGCTCCTCTGCCCCTCCCTCCATCGAGAAACCCTAGCTGCACGAGAGCTCGTGACCCCTCCACCACCTCCCTTCCGCCGCCATGAGCCATATTATGTCATCATCCACAAGCTCGCTCGAGCCGCCGGGAAAGGCGGGGAGGAGCGACTCAGGGAAGAATGAGAAGGAAAAGACTACAGTTTCAGCAAGAAAAGATTAAGGCCTTGTTTGGATATTGTAGAATCAAGAAACCATAGTATCAAGAAACTATAGTTTTAGAACCATTGACGTGCAAAACCGTGGTTTAGAAAAAAGAGGTCTAGAGTGGAGATTTTAAAACTCTGAAAAGACTATAGTTTCAGCAATGCCATGGTATTTAAAACCATAAAGTTTGTTGCACTCAAACACTTCATGGCATTCTAAAACCAAAGTATTTCACAAACCCATGGTATTTTTCCAAAACTCCAAAAATACTTTGTATCAATCAGGGCCTAAGGTAGTTAAAAGGATAATGATAGGTGGGGTCCGTGGATGACATATGAGACCAATTGATAATTGTTGCTAAAAGTGTAAAAAAAAACTTGTATCATCCTATCCCATGAATCCTTCCAACCAAATAAAAATTACAATATATACTCAACCAAATACAGAAATTGGACAATCTCATCTCATAAATCAAAGCAGGATGTCATGCCTCGTTCCCAAAACAAGCGCATCCTAAGGTAGCGTTTGGTTGAGAGTCGAAGTGGGGTGGGATGGTCCTGACTTTGATTCGTGGGATGGGACGGCTCCATTCTCTGTTTGGTTAAGGAGGGATGGGATGAACCTGTTTTCTGTTTGGACCAGAGACAACAAAAGTGGGATTAGCTACTGACAGGTGGGACCCAATTGTCAGTTTTTTTTTAAATTTTCTTCTTTTCTTTTTCCTCTCCTTATCTCTTCGATCCCAACCGCCTGGACTCGAGTCTCGCACATGGGCACGGCGCACCTTGTCTCCTCCTTGGCCTTTGGCTTCCCAATGAGCTTGCCCGCGCCTCCATCCAATGAGCTTGCCTGCGCGCCCTTCCCGAGGCTCGCCCGTGCCTCCTTCCCGAGCGCGCCCACGAGGCGGCCCGCGAGGCGGCGGCGCTCGCCCACGAGGCGCCGGCGCTCGGCGGCCGGCGTGCTTGCGCTCGCCCACGAGGAGGCCCGCGAGGCGGCGTGCTCGCCCCGCTGGGTTCCTCCATCTTCGAGCTCCTCTGTGCGTCATCCTTCTTCCTCGCATCCTCTCCCGCGCGCCCGTCCTTCTTCCTCCCATCCTCTCCTGTGAGCAAGCGCGCCTACTCTCTCCTTCTTCCTCGCCTGTAGCGCGCTCATCCCACTTGGGGCTGACCCCGTCCCCTCGATTTCGTGGGACGGGGACGCTCTGGATCTAAGCCGAATATTTTGTCTTATGACCGACTCGTTCTTGATTGCCCCTCGTCCAAACACCCCTTATCCCAGGACCATCCCACTTGATTCCCAAACACTACCCAAGCTGCTGAGAGCGAGAGTACATGCGCTGTTTGGAATTTAGGTACCATGTGTGGCCTTTTAAAACCGATGAGACTGGTCAAATTTGGCAGTTGGCAGTTGGCAGTTGGCATGCAGTGCTTTGTCCTGGCACGTACAGTACAAGTAAGTGCAGCGGCTGTTCAAGGACCATGTTTGGCAGCATAAGTTTGGACGAATCCAACTAAGATGTTCGCTCGTTGATTTTAGTTAAGACTTATCAATTAGTCAGTTAATAGTATTTTTTTCATAATAAATTAGCATCAATCGAACTTATCAACCCAGAAACCAACCAGCGAACAAGCTCAACGTAGATTGATAGGAAACACGCTGTTAGTAGTTTATTTGTTTAATTAATTTATTCCTCCCGTGCTCCACATGGCTCACATATATTTGAATGAATAAAAAAAATCTCCGTCCACTCAACTAAGCCTCGATTATCGCTCAATCTACACTAATCCTCTCCAACATATGCTGCATTACTGTGACCGACGTTCCGCAAATAAAGGCCGCGGACGTCGTAGACCATAAAAATACTGTAGATCGTTTGTTTACCTAACTAATTACCTCTTCCATATCATTGCCTTGCCCGTTGCATCCATACTCGTAGTCTCTTCTTTGATAGGGCGATCCCTCTGGCTCTACCGCAGTGCATGCCCTCTATTGGGTCTACTCCTAGATGCATACAGGATTTGAGTAATCAGGGATATGATTTGGTAATTCATGACGTCATACGTACGGAGCCAATGACTTATTTTTTGCCTTGGAAATTCAAAAGCTTATGAAATGGAAAGTTCAAAAATAACGTGGTCCTGTTCGCTTTGCTGAAAAGCCAAGCTAAAAAGTATTATTCGCTGATTTATCGTGAGAAAAATTACAGTCAAATTGTACCAACGTATCTAGCTACCCGCAATATCATCTACACATTCAGTGTACGAAGATAGCAGTTCAAATATCCTTTCCAAAGCAAAGAAGTGATCTGACCGTCAGTATGCATCATTTATACAAATTGAAAGGCTGTATGTAATGCTATCATTTACTGTATCTAAAAACCACGAAATTAATGAAAGCATGCAGTTTGATGGAAACACACGGTCAGTTGGAGGCAAGAAAGTAGTGCAAGCAATGGAGCACTTGCTTTCGACAAAAAGAAATGAATCGTACGTTGGGGTCACACACACTCTCACCGGTTCGCTGCTTGATTTTTGGCTGATAAATTCGGTTGATACTGATTTATTGTGAGAAAAAAAATACTGTTGGCTAGCTGATAAGCTCTGGCTAAAATCAATAAGCGAACAAGCTGGTTATCATAGTGTGGAAAAGGATAGGCAAGAAAAGGACGACCACGTATCTATCAATATATTAAGGTGGCCGCTGCGAGAAATATATATATGGATGTAATAACATATACTCCCTCCGATTCTCTAAAACAAGTCGTTTTGAGGTTGTCTGAAGTCAAACATTTCAAACTTTGACTACAAATAATTTTTTTTGGGTTGAGTTTGAAAATATAAAAGTGAAGTAAGTAGATTCATTTCGAAATGTAGTTTCATAAAAGTATATATTGACTATATTTTATAAATATTTTATAGCAAAAGGTTACCGTCAAAGTCGTTTCTTAAAGACCATGTCGATATCCAAAACGACTTGCTTTAGAGAACCGGTGGGAGTATATATACTCCTATATAACAATAACATAAAACGAGCAAATCAAGAGAAATGAGAAGTTGCTCGAAACTTGATGAATCATTGATGATCGTCCCAAGATCAACAGTTCAATACAACAAGTAACAACTAACAACAGCTAGCTAGACATGACCAAATAAACACAACGAACAGATGGATTGCAGAACTACTGCTAATCTAGTAGTAGTGCTGATTTGCGTTGCTAATATGATATGAAAAAGCCAAAACTCAATTAGCAGGACGGACAAGCTCGCTACGCTTGCTAATAATCTCAGAATGCATGGTAATATCAGGAGCTAGCTAGGTAGCTAGGTAGCTAGGCGTGGGTGTAGAGCGCGGCGAGGCTTCGTCGGCAGCGCGAGCAGGAGAACTTGCGCTTGTTCTTGACGCACAGCGGCAGGCAGCCGAGCACCCGCCGCACGCTCTCCACGTCCGTGGCCACCACCGCGCCGCCGCACCGCGGGCACGCCCCCGGCGCCTTCTGCTCCCCCATCACCGTCTCCTCCGCCACCCCACAGCACGCCGCCGCCATTGACGAGGCCATCGTCCGATCCTGCTACTACCTCTACGTCGTCGTCGTACTCTGATCTCTCGCTCCGTGTGTCTACCTCGACTAGCTAGAAGGTTGTTGAGCTAGGTGGATGCGTGCGGGGCAGGTGGGAAGCAAGCAAGGGTGAGATATAATATAGCTGGAAGAAGAGAGTAGAAGACAATATGCAGACACAGGGAGGAAGACGAGAGATCCCAGCAGCAGCTAGCTAGCGATGGTCATGTGTGTGCATCTAGCATCCGCTACGCCTTTTGTTTGGTTTGACTTGTTGCTTGGTTCTTGTTTAGATTAGTGTTAGGAATTAGTATTTGACACTGTAGCATTTTTGTTTGTATTTGATAATTATTGTTCAATCATGGTCTAACTAGGCTCAAAAGATTTGTCTCGTAATTTACAATTAAACTATATAATTAGTTATTTTTTTTATCTACATTTAATACTCTATACATATGTCAAAGATTTAATATGATGGAGAGAGAGAATGAAAAAACTTACGATCTAAACTAGGCCTTGGTGTCACAACACGCGCTCTAGCTAGCTAGCTCTCTGCAGTTGAGTTGCATATTCTCGTGGCAGCCAGGTGGAAGATATATCCACAAATGGATGGGTCCATGCATGATCACTGTATGATTACTTTTTGCATTTGGGGAGGGCCATATGGGGAAACATTCTTTCTTATGTACCAAATGTTGCACTTGCCACTTGGGAATGTTTTTTGTTTCTTATTTGGATATGATTGACCCTTTGGCCTAATTAAAGTGGTTTTTGTTTGTGTAGTATATATATGGCCTCTTGGTTGGAATGTTGGATAATGACAAAGTGAATAGCTTTCCCACAGCAACATGCTTTGTTATATTAGTATTTTCAAACTAGTGCTTATTTAGCTTTCCCAGGCAACATGCTTTGTTATATTAGTATTTTCAAACTAGTGCTTATTTTGGCAGGCGACATTGATTTGTTTCGACAATCTGGTTGGAACGTCTAGCTTTGATAATGTAATTGATTTGTTGCTTTCAAGCGAAGCAACCAACCGTTCTTCTTCGAAGCAAGTATATATATGCGACCTAATAAACTAATAATGGATCAGACGAAGCACATCATGGTTGATATATTATTATTGGAATAGCGAATGTATACGTACGTTGCAACGGAACGTATTACTTGTTGCTCGGTCATCTTAACGACTTATATATGGCTCGGTCATCTTAACGGCTTATATAACACCTTTTGGTTGGTTGATTTATTATTACTGTGAAAGCGACGATATTTGAAAAAAAAAACTTCAGATTCCATCAGCTTGGTTAACTCCGTTTTTTACACCCAAAAAGCATGTTCGAGAAGCTAAACTTTTACACTAAGGCTGTGTTTAGTTGTAGAAATTTAAACTCTTTATGTAACACATCGTTTTTATTTGGTTAGTGTTCAACATGGATCCTAATTAGTCTTTACTAATTTAGCACTGTGCAATTAAACAATACAAATATTCGATGTGACAGATACTGTAGCAACTTTTTAGAAGTTGGGGTGAAACTAAACAAGGGCTAAAGGTGGTTGTTTCATCAGTATCCTACTAGTCTTTACTAATTTAGCACAGGAAACAATACCCTCAAGGCCCAAGCCTTTGCCTATGTGATGAACCGACGTTGTGGCGTTGTGCGCCAGTGGACCATATGACAAGTGAGGCCCACATCACAGGCTGCGGCCATGCAGGCTGCTGCACCGCGGGCAAGCTCCTCGAGATTGAGACCTACTCGCAGTGGCACTTCAGGCCGCACGTGCCTAGGCCCTAGGCTGTGCATGGGGCATGCGCTGCTGCATGTACGGCGTCACTGCGGCGTTCGAGTCTCAGCGCTGGCCACCGGAGTGGAGGCCTCACAGGCCGCACATGAATCATGCACCTGCAGATCGACAACGTCTCTACGACAATCATGACCTAGGCCTGGTTTAGATTGAAAAAAATTTCAAACCGATGAATAGTAGCACTTTCGTCTTATTTAGTAAATATTGTCTAATCGTGGACCAACTAAGCTTAAGAGATTTATCTCGTGATTTTCAACTAAACTGTGCAATTAGTTATTTTTTTTACCTATATTTAATGCTCCATGCAAACGGCTAAAAATTGATGTGATGAAGAGAGAGTGAAAAAACTTGGAATTTTGAGGGTATCTAAACAAGGCCGAATGACTAAAACGCAAATGCAACGGCCTCCATATACAACCTAAAAAAAGAAGATGAAGTTAAGGTGAAAGAAGAAGGTTGGCATGGCCGAACACTCAAGACAACACATTTGGTCACAGGCATTAGACCCCAAAAGTGAACGTATGCAAGGAGGCCTCACTAAGGACATAAAATTTTGAACACGTAAAAAAGAAGTTAAGGTATGCAAGTACGAAATAGCCCGACATTTATTCTCTCCCGATTATTTGATTTCCTTCGGTAACGGCTAGACTCTTGGCATTGGTAATATTTCGCTATATGAATTAAACATGCTGCTTGGAGCTTGCATTGCATACTCTAGTGAATTTCAACACCGGCATCCCCACATTTAACAGTGCGGTGGCACTACCCAATACCAATTTCCCCACATTTATATGTGCCTTCTCAGGGGACCAGAATTAAACCCACATGACAAATATGAAGCTGCTGCAGCCTCATACCATCCCATCCCCATCTCCATCTCACCTCACATTTGAGCAACCAAATTATTGGGGATGATTCCTCAAAGGCTCAAAGGCAAGAGGACAGCAGGCAGGCAGGGGACCCCCCTTGCAAAAATGTTTGCAGCCAAACACTCACAAGGAAATGAGGGGAAGTTGTCATATGTCAAGCATGATATGCAGCAGCTGCTGCTGCAGTAACTGAATTGCACATGCTATAGTGCAGTGCCTATCATCAGGTTCACCTGCGCTTTGTTTAGATTGCAAATTTTTGTAATCTGGACACCGTAGCACGTTTCGTTTCTATTTGACAAACTTTATCCGATCATGAACTAACTAGGCTCAAAAGATTCGTCTCGTGATTTACAACCAAACTATGTAATTAGTTATTTTTTTATCTATATTTAATGTCCCATACATACGTCAAAAATTAATATGATGAAGAAAGAGTAAAAAGCTTAAAATTTTGAGGCAATCTAAAGAAGGCCCTCGCGAAAATGTGAGGGCAGACAGAGAGAGCCAGTGCATGCATCGCGGCCACTGATGCACTGTGCACTACTGCTGCATATCACCCCTAGCTAGCTCTGCTCTGCCTATGTGCGTCAATAATTGGTGGATTTGGCATTCCATTGGACCACAGCCTGTTCATGACGTAAACGATCGATCGTGAATTATTTACTCCCGACTAATTTGATGTAAAAAAAATATTATTCTAACTTATAATCTACAATCGTATACAAGCAAGTGATCGTATATGAGCAGGCGAACAGACTGCCAGTGGTTTGGAATGCCAGGAAAGACATGTACTTTTCCGGTGTACTGCATGATCCATGATACACATTGGTGGTGCCTGGGCTCACCGGCTGCTGGCCGCCCGGCGCCCGGCTCCTAGCTGTAGCAAATATGGGCACTCCTATCCTGGGACCGTTCGTGTTTTGTCAGGCCTATCTATCCAGCAGAAACATCGCAATCCAGACTAGCCTATGCAGGCCTACACTGTGTATACTTGCTCGGTCGATATTATAGGTTTATTTATTTGTCATATTGCTCCAGTGCTCCTAGCCTAGTGGAGATATAAGGGGAATCAGTGTCGGGCCTTGTTGAGTTCCGTGAAATTTGGGAATTTGGCTATCGTAGCATTTTCGTTTTTATTTGGCAATTAGTATTCAATTATGGACTAATTAAGCTCAAAACGTTCGTTTCGCAATTTCCCATCAAATCGTGCAATTAGTTTTTTTTCATCTACATTTAATGCTCCATGCACGTATCGCAAGATTCGATGATGGCTACTGTAGTACTTTTTGGGAAAACTTTTTGGAACTAAACATGGCCTCAGTGTTTAATTCCCTGAGGAGATCTGTTAGTAGTGAACTAGTGATCATTGTGTTTCCTCTCATTTTTTTAACTTTTTTTTTGTCTTCAACAGATTTAACTTGGCTATGAAAATACTTGTCAAAAGAACTAAGAATAATATGAATATTCAAGAAGCCTATTTTTCTTGAAAAGAAAGACATTTTTTTAATAAATCATGCACATAAAGCTTGTGATTTTGCAACGATCAAAATTACATGGCCGATGTTAGCTCTTGTCATTATGCTAGTCTAACGGGGTACCTAGCAAATTACAAGAGAATTAGCGTCACATATATATAGACCACTTCTTGGTCATGTGGTTGGACCAGTAAACTACTAATTTCATTGTCACGAGATGGTCCATCAGAAAATACGGTTTTTTCCCGCTGAACAATCGGTCGATGAGACAAATTGGACACTTGGATAAAGAGCGAGTTTGAACTATTCATCAGCACATGCTTGACTATTTTCCTCGTGAAAATCGTCGAATATTTTTTTGTCCCATGCTTAAATAGTCCGGAATCTGAAATTGTTACTGCCAAGGTGCAAGAGACTGATTCAGACTTCTTATAGAGTGGAACAATCGTAGTACCAGACACGAGATATATCTTTAAAAAAGAAGGTTTTTTCGAATAAGCCAATTGATTTGGGATCTTCGGATACATTCTTTTTCCTATTCAAAGATCAAGCCTTTGTCTCTGTGTTGTCACGTCGAGAATTCTTTGTGTATAAAGATGAAGAGATGGCAAAGCGGCTTAGTACGAGTACCAGATACTTGGAGTGGTGATTTGGATCAAGCACGTCCATATACTAGGAGGTGCTAAGACGATTTGGACGAAATTTGTCATGCCATTCAGGCCCTACATTTCTTTTTCTGCCATGACTTTTCATTGCAGTCACCATTGGCGATGATTATTCAACGACACAGCAAAGTCTGGTGTCTCAAGTTATATAAAAAAATCTTCAAAAAAGTTATAAAAAAAAG